TCGTCCTTTCTATTTTGTGAGTTGAGAAGCTTCAAAGGGGTATCATTTCGGGCAATGCGCTTTGTTGCATTTTTGCTACAGCAGAAAATAAGCAAATGAATACAACAGTTTTCTCATACTTTAGAACTTCAGCCACGAATAAGAAGTCCTTTTCTTGCGTGTTTTCTTTCCACTAAATTTAACGAGTTAGAAAAGAGCGCAGATTACCGTGCTACGAATAGTCTAATCCCTTCATCGAGCTCTATTACGAACACAAGTATGTTTTTATTGAGAAACCTCAGCACGTTTCGTTGGAAGGCCATTCAATTGGAATTGTGGCAAGTAAAACTGCTAGATATATAGTAATTATGAATGGTGTAGATCGATTGAATGATTGATTGTTTGAACTGTTTATTGAATTGCTCTCGTTTAAGCGAAGATCGCTAACACACATTCCTTGTTCATTTTGAAAGATCTAAGAGGTTTTTATCTTTATGTGCTTTCATCTGCCTCTGGTTAGGAGCATTATTCATTGTAATTCGGTTTTCATAGGGCGATTGTGCAAAAACGTTTCTGGAATACACCTGATTTTTGAACAGATTTGTATTCGTCTTCGTATGTTATCAATCGCGAATTGTCATTAAATTAGTCGTTTGTGGCGAAGTAGTCCAGCACGCATTGATCATTTATATTCCGCCTACTAGCGATTAGCTAGTAGCCGGTTTTCGCCAACTTTTTTGGTGAAGCCATCTGAATACGAATTGTCACGCTAAACCCGGCAACAATTACCCATCTGAATTAAAAAAGAGTTTATATTTCAGTACACAAGGAGCATTTGTGGGAGAAATTGAAGAACTGTGGAATCCATGACAGATTTTTCGTAACATTATTTTTCTTTTAACAGACGAAAAACAAGACTTTTTCACCAACAGTTGAATGGTGGTTGTCGATATTATTTTCTAATGTGGAATTCATTGGCTGTCCAAGCTTCTGGCCGCGCAAAACTGAGGTTTCAATCACATATCGTTGGCTGAGTTGTGATCTGTCTCTTGAGTTTATGTTGATTAAAATTAATATTGGTATTGTTACAATGCAGCAATGCATATATACAGGCACAAGCGTGCGTCTAAATAATTAATACTCACTAAGGTACTCTTACCATTAGTTCATTATATTTACATTTTGCAAAAAGAACGCTCCGGTTGAGTTGTGAGACTGCATTGTTCCCACGGGATTTCGATCGATTATTCCGCAAACACCCATTCATTGAAGATTATCAGGGTAATGTATCTTTGTGTTGAATCCTAGACACTCCATAGAAATTAGCTGAAAGGGAATGTTACTGTAACTCCCAAAGTCCTACGACCGTTTCCAGGCTTTGGCATGCACTGATTGGACAATTATTTCACATCCCAAATTACTCTTCGGAAGAAGAATCATCACAGGAACTTCAGGGTTTCTCAATCCAAATGCACTGTTTTATGAAATTAACATACCTGGCAATTCCACGAAGTACGATGGGATCTTTGATCTGCTTTAGCTGTCTGAATATTCCCACGAAGCATATTGAAAAAAAAATTTTCTGTTTTTCACGTGGAAACCAATTGTGTTTGCGATTGAAGGACAAAGTTCCCCACTCTGTGGTCTCATTCGTTGTATACTCACTTCCTCGTTCCTTTGGAATAACCTACCTAGTAGTTTCGCGCCTAGCTGAAACAAATCATTTTATTAACGTGACTGAGGCTTTCCGACTCCTTTATAAAGTTTCTCGGTGATCATTGAGTCAGGTTCGCTGTGGGGTGCCAGCCACTGCAGAAGGCTCGGGAATTCGTTTGCACAATCCTCCTCTATGCGGTCGCTAAAGCTTATCTGACTCCCCCCCCCCCC